ATTTCATTAGTATGATTAGATTTAAGTTTCATGTTGTGTGTGCTCGAATTTCTATTTGAAGCTTAAAGTAATAATTAAATTTTCAAATGGGTTACATAGCAAACAATCTTTTCTTCCTCAATTGAGGCTTGGGTTATGTTATGGTGATTGTAGTACAACATATTACAGTGTTTGGAAGCCATGGCCAAGCGCGGGAGTGGGGGGGGGGGTGTTTGTGTGTGGTGAAGAAACTCACTAGGGTTTATAAACTTGAAAATCAAAACTTTGAAAAATTTATTAAAGCTTCAAAATTAAGGGGTTCAAAAACAACCTTAGATTGAAAAAGCAAATCGTTTGAAGAGTCAAAAGCGAATTTGAGAGAGAGAGAGACAGAGAGAGTGGGGGAAGATGAAGGGTAAAATTAATAATTTAATTTTTTAATTTATAAAAAAAATTATTTATTTTATAACACGCACTTAATTAGTGTGTATAATTATCGTGCCGTTGCAATAAACTAATTCTATTAAATTTGTAGTTTGGTAACAAGTTGGAGGAGATTAAATGAAACTCTTAAAATTAAAGGTGTAAAGTGAGATCGAGACTTTATATAGGACAATTTTTGTATTTTACCCTTTAAAGTATCAAAATGACACGATTAAAGGTTAATGGATGTAGGGGAAGACTTTTTTGTTTTTTTGCTACAAGATGTCTAGGCTTGTGCAAACTATTTCCTCAAATTTTTAATCAGCCATTATAACTCAAACTACTTTAAGAACATATTTCTTGAGAAATAAGGGCGAATGACCATAAAAGATATAAAAACTGTCAAACCTGAGACCCCTTAATTACAAGAGGACAAGTTTGACCACCGACGACCTCTTAGTTAAGTGTACACATTAACAGGCAACTTGTGTAATGTAGTATAGGAATATTTATAAATCCAGAATGAATATTTTACACAATGAGGGTGAATAATCACAATTGTTTATATAATACTTAATTTAAAGTGTTTTTAATTTAAATTTGGTACTCAAATCTTTTTGTCTGATTGAAATATAGAAATTTTAATTTGTAGGGTGTAAATTGAGAATGCAAAAATATTTTGGGTGCAAAGTGTCATTTATCCGAACAATAAATATCACCAAACAAGCGGCTATAAGTGTTATTTCAAAAACGAACCCCTATGGACAAAAACAATGGTAATCGTAGAATGACCACTGACTTTTGTACGATTCCAATTTGCGGTAGAAAATGCAAAAGCTGTAAGAACTTGAACTCCCCATTTGCCACACAGCCGAATGAGCTCAATTATTCTGTCCACCGGCCCTATGACCTTGTTACGACTAGGGCTGTTCACCCTATCCTATGGGTCAGAAATATGTTCTTTCGTCTTTCTATCCGATACTTTACGGAAGAATTTTTTTTTAACCTACTCTACCCGACAGGTGTGGATTCCTACCCGCCTTCCTACCCGATTAAGAAAAGGGTTTGTTTTTTTTAGGGACGAGAGAGAGTGTTCTTGGGAGGAAGGGGAACTGGGAATCGCGAGGATAACATTTCGGTGATCTTGGTTAACTATACTTCTCTTCAGTTGGGCCTGGGTAGTTCTTTTGCCGCCACACTTGTGTAATTAAAGTCACAGAACTCGGCCAGACGACGTCGTTCTAATAATATTTAAGTGACTGTAGTTTTGCCTTTGCACTTGCACTTGCACTTGCTCATGTACATGTGGGGATTACTTAACTTTCAAGACTTGTTTTAATTGAAGAATCTCGTATGAAATCAGCAAACCCAGATGTGATATTTTAAATTAACGTTTCCTTTCTTTGATTTCCTATAGAATTTTTAGATTCAATCGACAATAACAAGGGCTTCTTTCCAATGTAGCATAAATTTTATACACTATACTTCATTAATCTTAGTTTTTTCTATTCATTTAAGTGGGTCACTTTGAAACAATAAAACCGGATGTTGAAGTATTTTCTGTTTAAGAAGAACAACTAATGTTGACGTAGAAAAAGAAAATCAGAAGCTGAAAATTTACATCAGCTGTTGAAGTATAATAATATGAATTTATGTTTAAAATTGAAATTCATGTGGATTTAAATCATAATCCTATGATTTAAGTTTCAAATTCAAATATGCTTATCTATTAAAATAGGAAACTCTTAATATAATAAACTAAATCCCATAAAAAAAATGAGATTGTCAATTTAAATAGCCTAATAAATATGGAAAAAAGTATTTTAGTAAAAAAAAAGTTTGAAAATTTGTCAATGTCTACCTAAATACAATATATTTCAAGTCAAGAACACTTACCTACAAAGAATGTTAGACTTTTAGTCATGATATTTTCTCACAGTTATGTATTTTAAAAGACACCACTTCACAGATTTCCCAAAAAAAATAGGTCTAATATACTTGAGAGCTAATTTTTGTGTGTGTGTGTTGGGGGGGGGGGGGGGGGGGGGTTCTCCTCTATAAGTGGGGCTCTAGTTAGCCATCTTAGTAACCTATGCCTAGAGTCGGCCCTGCCCAATATTTGTTATGAGAATTCAATTCTCACCTATGAAATAAGCTGTTATTTTGAAATCAAAATTTAAAAAAAGAGAGATAGCTTTCATTCTGTTTTTATCTCCCCTCCAATTCTGGAAGCATTCCGATTACAATCAACTTGATTTATGAACAGAGTCTGTGACAAAGAAGTGAGAATATGAAAAGATGGAAGTTCCAACGGATATATTGCATATTAAGTATTTATTGCAAGAATATGTAGTTTACATGATGATTTCATGGCTGTGTATCAAGTAGAAGAAAAAAAACATATAATGATTGAAGTAACTGATATATTCGATGCTAATAAATATTTATTTTTAGAATTATTAGGGCCTTCAGCTCGAAATAAGTTACGGAAACCATTGCATTAGAGACAGAATTCAGAGTATTAATTAAGGGTATAATTGTATTTAAAAAATAAATTTAAAAATTAGACTTGATAATTATAACCATTGAAAAAATGATTAAAGACATGTTAATGTATAGGGATGTTTTAGGTAATTAAAAAATTTTCTTACATTTATACATTTTCGAGTTTTTTAGAGGCCGGTACTTATAGGTCTAATAGGAATCTAAAAAAAAAACTTACTCTCTAATTTGTTTTTAGATTAAGTCCTTGTTGAAAAGTCAAAACAATAGACATAACTAATGCCCTTTAAAGTTTCAAAATTTACGATGATACCATCAAGTAATTAAAACACTTATTCTAAAAAGTTACATAATCATAATGTACCTTCTTATTCATAAATACTGATCATTAGACAGATATACTAAAAAAAGATGACATATAATTGGTCGTTCGTAGGTACATTAAGATACATTTATTAATAAGGGTTAAATTCAGTGTATCTCTGAGAGAGATACATTGAGATGGAGAAACGTTTTTTCGATTAACTACGCAATTAACACTATAATGAACATATATTTAAACTTCTTCATTTGCCCTATGGAAATACCTCTATAACTGGCATATCAAAAAATCAAAATAGAAACACATAAAATAATGAATTAGTCAAGGGAGCAAAAAAACACAGAGTAGCATATAAATGTTTATAAGTTTCCTCAACGAAGCACATGCCAAACCATCAAAACACATCCAAGTGAACAAGAGGTAACTAAAATATTATCATAGAAGTTATGTATCCATCCTCAGTAAAATTAAAAATTAAATATGACAGGTAATCAAGCTTACAAACATTTATAATTACACACACAAAAAAATGAATTAACAAACACAATAGGTATATGTACGCAACATATTATATACGACGAACAACATATACGATCATTTAGATACATTATACGAGTATATACATCTAAGAGATAGGTAAATCAATATTTAATTGAGAAGAAGGTACATATACACCACTACAGGGAATTTGAACCCTTGACCTTAAGAAAGCAAAACCTTGACAAGACAAATAGTACCATTAGACCAAAGGTCCATTGATAAAACCATAAAACCAAACACAATTCAAAATTACGTAATCATAAAAAACATGTACCTAAACCTACCAACGAATACGTCAAACTTAACTATTGCGATCTAATTTGTATACCTACCAAATCAACGCTTAAAAAACGACCAGTATATTTTAAATTGCTTGGTTCACAAATTTAAAATATAAAATTGATATACAACATTACAAAATTCTCAATAACAAACACAAAAAAAATGGAACTAACTGTATTTTAGACTAAAATCAGGTGATCAAGGCAAAATGGACAATGAAAATACACTAATTGTTCAACCCCTATACATTCATGCCCCAACATGGACCGCATGCAATTTTTTTAAAAAACACGGAAGGCTTTTTTATATAATAAAAATTCGATAGGAATAAAATTAATTTATACATCACAGAAAGGACCCTAGCCTAGTTAACCATACAATTTATAGTAGCATCTAAGTTTACTAATGGACTTTTGGTCCAATTGTGTTGTTTGTTTTGTGAAGACTCTCTTTTCTTGAAATTAAAGGTTTAAGTCTCCTTTCTCCTCTCCCTAAAAGAAAAAAGATGCGTTCAACTAAGCTTAGAAAAAGGGGAACCAAGTGTTTACAAAAAAAAAAAATTAAAAATGCAAAACTTAAAAAGCTTGACAAACAAAAATAAAAAATTTAATTCAATATCAAACATTACTTAATTCCTTTGACTCAAAACTTTTGAAGCATTAAGCAATTATTTTATTTCATGCTGGGTTGACATTACTTTTAATAAAAAAAGAAAAAAAAAGTTGAACTTGAATGAAATTCCAACATAAACTTGCCATAATAATATGGGTTTCCAAGTTGAATTACATATAATCAAAAAGAGACTAAGTAGTTGGGTAAATGTTGAATACTGACTTTGCCTACCATATCGTCTTTGTCTTTGTTAAAATGAGCTTAAAGTCTCTATAAAGTCTGCTTCTCTGTAATCCGTAAAAAATATTTTAGAAAAATAAAGTTCACTATAAGCCAACTGTCATAGCATGAAGTTGCTGACTCTACATTCGCCACTTGTCCGTATAAATAGATCAGGACTGGGGAATTTGGTCCACTTTCTTTGCAGCTCTTGCTCAGTTAGGCTCTCCTCAATATCTTGCAGTTGAATAAGACCATCTTTTACTTTGCTAGACACGCTTTTGCAAGCTTTCAATATCTCATATCTTCCACCGTAACCAAGCGCTACCATAAGACGGAGTCCTGAATTTGCCTTCAAGGCCACCTCTGCTTCAGATAATATTTGCTCTATAGACCTAGGGAGTGGCGATTTATTCCCAATCACAGAAAACCGAACATTTTGCAT